CCACCCAGAACGTGGCTGTGCTGGTGCACAGCATCTTTCAGAGCTGTTGCATCACATGATCCTGTGCTGTTTGTCGCCTGAAGTTAAATTTCAGTGTTTGCATGAGGGCTGGGGGAACAGAAAGATAAAGTCTTTGGGGTTTGGGCACCATTCATGGCTTTGCACCCATCTCTGCACATCCACAGTTCCTATGTGGATGGTGAACCCTGTGTATATGCAATTGCTCACTGAGATGCTGAAAAACCTACTGCTGGTGGTGCTTTGGCATCCACATGTTACTTCATTTAAGGCAGACATGCCTAACTTTCCTTTGACAAGTGAATATGCTGCTCTCATGTGATAAGCTGTGGGTTGTACATGTGTTTGGGGGAGTTTGGTCACCACCAGACTATGGCTGAGCTTATTCTGCGGGCAGGAGAAGAATTTGTATTTCAGGGGCTTTTTGGGGGAGAATTTCACTCCTTCCCTGCTGCAGAGCACTCCAGCCTATGTAGGAATCAATTTGGTTTAGGACACCCAACAGGCATCTGATAGACCACAGCCTCTGAGAGGTACCAGCCTGACAGGGCTTGACTTGCCCAAGGGGGAGTCAACAGCTCAGAAGTTCTGGACTTGCACCTTGCCCTTGGCCAAGAGTTTGGAGAGGGAAAATGTAACCATGTGGTTGGTGAGGAGTGGAACTTTATGTTACTGTGTGTTCAGATGAGGATGGCTGTGAGCACCATTCCTGGTTTCTCCACAGTGGTGTGCTCAGATATCTGCAGCACCCACACCAGGACCTCGTTCTGGGTGTGTGCTTGGACTGGCATCCAAGGCAAACAGCTGGAATTCAGAACTTATGCCAGAAGGGTTTAGTGGTGCAAGAAGAAATGGGAAAAAGATAGAGAGCAGAGATAATTATGCCAAGGATATATAATTATTCTTTGGCACTCCACGTCTTACACATCACACAGGATCCTGAAAATGCTGAGGTCAGACCTGGGAAATGTGCTGCAAGACAAACACTTCCAGCTGTTCCCCTGAAAGCAAATCTCAGCAAGTACCTTCCAGGAGGGAATGTGTGGGCTCACTTATTTTGGAAAAGAAAAAAAGTCTCACCATTTCAAGCCTTCACCATTCACCTTTGTAATTAAAATCTCTAATCACAAGCAGAGTGCAATATGGGACTGTCTTCAGGGAGCTTTTTCTTAAGGTGGTTTTCCATTTTTGCACTATTTAGCCCCTGCCTCGGTGCCAGGCTTTACTTAACCTTAAGCTTGTGAACAGGCTTATTGAATTTGGCCAAGACTTAACTAATCTGTAATGAGCTCCAGGTTGCCTGGAACTTGGCAGTGCTGCCGTGCTCTGTGCTGTTGCATAATGGCCTGACCCTGTGTAACCACAGCTTCTCCTTGAGCCCCTGCTCCAACCTCATTGAGTTCCCATTCTGGAACCCTGGGCTTCATGGAGGGGCTGCCCTCATAAGGGGAGTCCTGAGTGCCAAAAACCTCGTGGTTTCATGCTCTTCCACAGGGTGAGAGGCAGGAGAAAGTGCAAGAAAAGCCCAAACCCACCGGGGAAGAGAGGGGATGCAGCAGTGGCCACCAGAGGAAATCTGGTGCCTCCTCCCAGGCATCTGTGATGGATAGAAAGACATCAGAGTTGTGACCATCTTCCTCCTCCTCCTCTGGCTACATTAGGCTGGTGTACAGGCTCCTGTGATCTCCCTGCACAGGTGAATGGAGGATGCTTGTCCTGAAAGCTCTTCCATTTCAAAATTGTTTGGTGGTTTTTACTGTTTATCATTTTAGTAAGAGCAACTGGAAGGACTTGATTTGTGAAGAATCACAGGAATAGTTCAGATGTTGCTCTGAGTAATTTTTTCCCTATTGCTTATTTAGATCAGCTCAACCATTTGAGAAATGCATTATTTGCTTTCTACTTATTGAGTATCTAATGATGAAAATAAATTGTTACTGCTCTTTATTGTGCATTTCCCATAAGGCTGACATGGCACAGAGAAGGAACCGGATTCTTTTCTTCTAGGATGACACAGGGAAGATTGTTTATAGCACTTCAGCTCCAGCCTTCTGCAAGCCAGCTGAGAGCAGGATCATTAAAGGCAGGATTTAGAGGCTGTGGGTTTGCATAAATTGATTGAGAGCAAAATTTTTCAGACAAACATTTTGTAATGAACAAGAAGGGAGCAATCTGGTTTGAAAAAGAGAAAGGAGAAAAAGATCTCCTTACAGAAAAATGTATAAAATGATCTTGCCTCGTTTGAAGATCAGAGTGCCAAATATAGACCCTATCACATTTCCTTCCCTCCTCCTTCCGAAGCTTTTCCTTTTGAAGTGCACTTTCCATGGGATGTGGATAATTGACTCTGCAAACAACTGACCGAGGCCTCTGCTGGTTTCACCGATCCGTCTCGGTTGCTGGTTCCTGTTTTGTTTTGGATGATTTTTAGCCCAATTGCCCTGTCAGCTACAATTAGTGGCATTAATATTAATAAGCTGAAAGGTCACAGATGTCTTGCACTGGTCACAGGCACGTGGGCAGGCAGGAGATGCTCCCAGCATGTTGTCCTCAGCCCCATGCTCATGTGCCCCTAAATTGGTGGTGACTGCAGATCCTAGTCTGATCAAAAGGGATGGGAGGTTTGCTTCACAGGAGGGTGATTGAGTGAGAAATGGGGGTGCAATAACAACTAACATTTGGATGAACTTCTCTTTAATTAGTCAATAAGGTTCCTGGTTTCTTTATACAGGGGAAATGTGGAATGGCCTCTCACCTGCCAGAGCTGTGGGGAGAGGAAGCAGAAGTGGGAGAGCGTTGTAGGCACATCCTGTGGCTCTTTCAACAAGCCCATGACTGTTGTTTTCTGTGGTGCCAGTGACATCTGCCATGGCTTTGGGCTTTTGTCTCTTCCACTGAGGACTTCCACCTAGGGGAATAAAATAGGAAAGGGAACAACATGCAAATGAATGGAGCACTAGGGGATCATTTAATTTCTCAAGGTTGATAGGGCTCAGATGCACACAGGTGCAGGTCAGACATTGGACTCAGGGTCTCAGGGTTGGTGTGTGGCCATAATATGGCCAAAATGGTACCACAGAAAATGTAGCCTGGTTGTTAACTGGTCTGCACACTTGGCCTTTTGTATGAGGAAGGAAACAGAAGGCACCCAAAGTGCCTCATTTGAATTATATAGCCCCAAAACACCATTGGAAGACCCCAGTTGGAGATGGTTTGCTTACAAAGCAGGATGCTGTGCCTGGTGAGGTTCTGCAACAGTCTGGTTTTGGTTTGATGTTATTTGGCATTTTTCTTAACTTCCTGGAGGATGGAAAAGGGAAAGTGCAGATTCACTCTGAAGATGAGCCCCAGCTGGGAAGAGCTTGCAGCAGCCTGGCAGAGAGGGTCAGGATTTCAGATGGCCTCCACAAACTGGGCAAGTGGTATGAAAAGGAAAATTTGTGATTAGGGAAAACCTGAATGATAGGAATATGTGAGAGTAAGCCATCAAGAGAGGCTAGAGTTCCCTCCACTGGAGATTTTTATGAATCAGTGGGGAAAACTTTTATCAAGTGGCATAGATGTATTTGATGCTGCTTCTTCAAAGCTCTGGTTGGAGAAGGTCTGCAGATCTTCGTGGGGTGAGATGGGTATTTTGTTCACTTTTAAAATGAAAAATTAACATTTCCTTGAGGAGCACATACTTGGTGAAAAATCCCTTGGCCAAGGACCAACATTTCCCTCAAGCAGTTTGGTGGGAGCTCTGCGGACTGGCCATGGGCTGTGCTGTCATGAGCATCAATTCTGGTTGAAGCCACACAGGTCTGGACTTATAGGAGCATACAGCCTACACAAATTCCCCCTCTATTTCTCCAGAAACTGCACTTTCTGCAGACATCTGTGAGGTCCAGAGGTCAGTGTGTTGCACTGAGCTTGTTCCCTGTAAATCTCATCTGGGACTTGTTCCTAGCAAAGAGAGCCAGTGCTTTTACAAAGCCTAGCAGCAGGACACCTCTTCTGTCAGTGTGTTTCCATCCATGTTTGGGCAACACAATGAATGCAGATGTAGTAGGAAACTTTTGATTATCTGTAGGGTTTTCTGTGAAAACTTCAAAGCTCTGTGGTTAGTTATATTCTGAGACTTTAAATGGATATGTCTTGTGCTCAGAGGTCTGATTTAATGTTCTGTTTTAATCTATTGTCCAAACATCATTAATGTTGTCTTTGAGGCATGGGACAGCTTTGATGGAGTCTCTTTTTAATTTCTGGCCATCACCCTGTGCGGCCATAAACAACATCCTGCCTGCTAATGAGAAAATTCAAGTTATTGGAGTCACATGTCTTGTGGAAATAGATTGTAGTGGCAGAAGAAAAAAAGGAACCGACTTTGCTCACCTTCCACCCTCAGCTGGCATAAGTATTTGGATTACTGACAGGGAGGAGAAGTTTCCACAGATCAAGATATTCCAACAAAAGGCAATGTTGCCTGTTAAAAATGAAATTATTATAGTCACACGCATTAATTCCTTAACCTGCTTTTGTGAGTTATCTTTTCTGTCTATAGGCCTCTGAAAACTTTCCTAATTAATGCTTTGCATGCCAGCTGTCAGGCTTAACCCTTCCTAACAAATTGAGGTCTGTGACAGGATTTGAGCCATCCTTCAAGTGTGCACTGAGGGAGCAGGATCCTCCATTACACACCCAGCAAACCAGGTGCATGACATTGGTATCCCACCCATCGCTTTCCCCCCCTCAGTCTTCTGTAAACTTGTTTGCAAAGCAAAACTTGTGTGTGTGACCTTAGAAAGATGGGGCAGGAGTGACAGCCCTGGTTTCTCCCTTCTCCCCACCATATAAGTTGATGTTAGTCCTTTCAGGTGGTGCTTGCAGGCAGCCCCTGCAGGTGCTTGTGTTTAGAGGGGGGTGGTGCTGAGAGCATCTGGGGGGCTCCTGCAGCCCTGGTGGCTCCTGGGGCTCTCCTCTCGCCCTCCATGTCTCCACAGAGCACGGCTTCGTCGGCTACTCCCAAGAGCTGATGTCCAACAACACCCTGCCAGACTACAGCCAGGGGGAGTCCTTCTTCACTGTTTTTGGAGTGTTTTTCCCAGCTGCCACAGGTACAGTTCGGTTTTGTCCTCTGCCTTTTTTCCTCCACAGGAACATCTCGGAGATGAGCAGAAGCAAGGGGAGCTCCTCGGCTATGAGCAGGACTGCACTTGGCTGTTGCAGACCCAAGTGGTCAATTCAAATGTTCAGGCTTCCCTCCAGCATCTCAAATTTTTTGCACTCCTGTCTTATTCACTTGCTCTTCTGTCTCTGTGGTTAGACACTGCTGGTGGGCTCTGTGGGTTGATGTGGTTCTGTAAATCCTCCCCTGCCAAGGACAAGGCTCAGGCACTGATCTTGGCCAATGCTGTCAGGGCAGAAGGTATCAAGCCTGTCTAAAAGAACTGATCATGATTTATCAAATCAGATGAGCCCTATGACTTTATTGCACTGGGAGAGTGGGAAGAGCACAGGAGGACTTTCTCTCCATCCTTACCTTAGCAGGTGGCTGAGCTGGGCTGATGCCATTGCCCATGGTGGACCCACCACTCACTGTGTGGTGTCACAGGTTCATCCTTGTACGTCAGCAGAGCTCATCTCATATTTAGGAGCTTAATTAGATACCTTCATATCATCCATTCCTTTAAATACCAGGGAGATGCATGTCCCCTTTCCAGAGCTGACAATCTCCAGTGGGAATGCAGTAGCTATCAGCTGAAGTTACAATACCTTTTGTTGATGCTGGGTGTTTTAAGCTATAAAAAGTACTGATTATAAGCAGTTTCCATAGTGATGAATCCTTGGATTACAGAATGAATTTTCAAAGGATCAGCTCTAAGCAACTCACTGGAAGTTGCAGAATTGCTGTAGGAGACAAATTAAAGTGTTTTGTGAAACAGATGGACTGGAGGAATGGTTGGGTTGCAGAAGTCACTTTGTCAGGTGCACCTGGTGCAGGACTTCAAATTTTTCTTTGAGATCCTCTCTCCCACCTTATCAGTCTGGCTATTACCCCTCTAGGTTTCCTCCTGGAAAACTCACCTTCCTGAACTATTGGCACCACAGAGATGTCTTCTGCCCTCTTTTTTGTTGTCATTTTTGATTGGCCTAAGTGAGTACCCAATAGAAAAAAAACTCATGAGCTCTGTCTGGTGCAGGAAAGCAGGTTGTTTTCTGGCTCCTTGGTTATAGAAGAAGGAACAGAAAACAAAACTGTGCAGAAAATTACCGTGATTAGCCATATTAAATGATTTTTTGTCACTGCTAATGCCTGGCTGCTAGGAAGAATGCCAAAACTAATAGATACAATTTGCTTAAAGCCCTGGCAGCCTGTTGCTCTGTTTAGTTAGCAGTAGTAACACCAGTAGTAATGTCAAACATTCTCTGAAAATACAGTTTGGGATAATGTATAATTACTTTGGTTGTTAGCACAGCTTTTTCACGTGTTCTTTTTAATTGCTTGGTTATTTACAGGATTTAAATTATTCCTTCAGAGTAGCAGTGCCAGTGGTACCATATAACATCACTATCACTCCTGTCACTGCTGTTTGGAGCAGTGTGGAGCTCAGGAGCCTCAAAAAATGCAGGTCTGTGTTTGGTGCTCTGCATGGAAGAGGTTATGGTCTGATTTAGAAATTTCTAGGATTTCAGGGAGTCAAGACTTCTCTGCTGCCAGTGCTGCTGCTTCAGGGCAGGCAGCATGATGCAGAGGGTGAGCAGAAGTGGCACAGAGGAATGACATGGACAGGCTAGCACTGCTCCCAGGCTGTCCCCTCCAGCCTGTGGCCCCCCCCACCACCCACCTCTGCTGGAACCCCCACAGTGACCACTGGAAGCAAAATCCTTTGCCTTAAGATACAACAGAAATTTGGGGAGAGTTTCAGCAAAACAATATGCTGTTTAGTTTTGAGGGGTTACATTGAACCAGTTTGAAACACTTCTTTGATCCACAGCAATGTTCTGTTTATCTTTAATTAGAAAATGTTGTGTTTACTATTTTTAATTTGTAGCATATGCTAGCTTACAATTTAAGATGCTATTTTGATAACAAAGTTTTAAAAAAAGAATATTTCGGAAATTGTGAAACAAATTGTTTGGGCCTTTTGAGATGAAATGTTCCTCTTTGAAGTGAAACTATTTTGATCTCTTCAGGATAGGCTTCTTCCTCTGTCTCTGAGATGGCTATCTGAATTCAACCAGTTTGAGTTTGGTCTCTGGGATACACTGAAAAGGGGCTGTAAGTTGCCCATTTCCACCAGACACAGCAGTGAAAGAGAAATGTGAAATGCAGGCTGGTAGATGTAATAGCAAAGAGGGGCAGCCACTTCAGGAAGGGGGAGCAGGACCTGTGGGGAGACCCTTGCCAGACCAAACAGGCAGGAGGAGCAGCTGGGGATATGCTTCAGTTGATGGGCCAAGGATGGTCATCCCAGCCTTTTGCAGACCAGTAGCATCATGCTGCTTCCTAGGAGCATCCTCCTTGGGGTGTTTTGCTCCAGGTCAGGTTGTTTTCTCTGTTCCTCTGTGTTTTACTGGTATGACTCCAGCAGTGAGAGTGAAGTTACCCCAGTGTTAGGGTTGAGCACTGGTAAGCAGAGGCTGGTCTGTTTGCTACCTGTGCAATAGCTGTTTAAACCATTTCAGCTGGATGTTCAGTGCAGCTGGCTGAATTCCCCAAAGTTTGTCATTTAATCATAGGGATGTAGCCAAGGGATCTGAAACAGACATCTAGAGCTGGCCTAAATGGGAGAGCATGGGCACAGAAGACTGGGATTTGCTGGCTTCAGTCAAAAGACTGAAATATAGCTGTGGAAGATGTGAACATGCCCCTGTAGAGGTGCTGTGCATTGACCAGCTGTTCTTCTGCACGTTTGTAAATACCTTCTCAGTGCACACATTTTGCTGCTGTGCTGTGATAGGTGAACACTTGGACACCCACCCAGCCAGGGCTTTTCAACAGGGAGGGAGTCTCAGGGGCAGCCTGCCCACAGCCAGCTCCCAGCAGCAGCCATGAAGCCATCAGTGCATTTTAGAATTAAGATAAATGCTGTTTCTGTTGTTCAAAAAATGTTTTTCCACTAAATCCCCAAGGTTTTCTGTCTAATGAAAGAAGTGTGTTGTCTTGTGATAGAAGAAAGTAAGATGTCATTTGAAGCAGCGTTAGTGGAAAATATCACTGCACAGAAACCAGTTCTGAAATAAACCATATCTGGCACTTGCAAAATGACAGCAAATAGATTTAGAAGTTTTGGGCTAAGTTATCAGATGATGTAAACTGGCACAACTCCATTGAAGTCTATGGCAAGGTGCCAGCTTACATCAGTGGAGAAGTTGGCCCTTTAAAAAAATTAGCTACAAGCCTTATCTAAGATTTTCCATTCTTCACCTCCTGGGTGAAGGAAAAAAATCACCTTTTATATTTTATAGTATGTTCACTGAGAAGTGCACTGAGCGTTTGCAGAGTGATCGTATCTGCAGCTATAAACCATGGCTGGTGGGGCTGGTGGCTGTGCCTGACACACAGTGTAGGTGGTCCCCTCATGCACACATCCACCCCCTGGATGATGCCCAGGACCAGATTACACTGGGAATAGCAGCGACGTACAGACTGTCTCAGCCATAATTTCCTGGCTGGGTTGACTGTGTTTTCATGCTTCTTTGTCCAGAAGCTTTGTCACTATCTGCTGCTCTCTAAGATAATAGCCAGTGTGGAAAATCCAGCCTGCTATCTCATTGAAACAGAGAGGTGGATCATTTTCTCCATGGAGAATCGGCAGAGTTCAGAAGGGATTGGCCATTTCCCTAGGGATAGGCCTGTGTCTGAAGGAAGGAACATCCCAATTTCTTCCTACCTTGACTGCTAGGAAGGACATGCAGAAGGAATCTGCAATGAGTGTTGTGATAGTTCAGGGTCTGCACTGCCTGCCATACGTGTTCTTAACTTGAAAGAAAAAAAGAGCATTTTCAGAGGAAAAACTGATTTGTTCAGGAAAACTTGTTAACTCACAGGGTTTAAAAGGCTGCTGGTAGTGGAGAGGTGGCTCTGGCATTGTCCATACATCTGTACTACCAGACTGTCCACACCTTTGCATTGGTCATGTCAGAGTCATAACTGCAGCACAGAGGAGATGGCTTTGGCCTGGGTAGCTGAGAATATCTGAGTTTCTTCCCTCTTTGGTGGCCTTGACCTTTGGTTGTGGAACCCATGAAACTCTGGTGACCTCCTGGGAGCCCTGACAGAAGCCAGTGGTGTGCAGTGGCCTGGGTGTGACCCCTGGTCACTGCTGGGCAGGAGGTCAATCACCAGCCTCAAGATCCTCTTTATGTGGGCCCTGGGAAGTCAACTCCTGGCTGCTCCCAAGCGTGTGTGGGTCTGTGGGAGGGACGCAGGGAGGCAGCCCAGGCTGTGCAGTCATCGCTGTGCCGATGACTCACGTCTTCAGCTTTTTTATGTTCAGTCCAGAAAATGCCATTTTGGTGTTTCCCCAGTGCTTTGCTGAGGCAGGAGTTTGGATGAGGAAGAGGTGACTCAAGCTGGAAGATTTAAAGGTGGTGCCAGATGTTTGAGAAACTTGGCCAAGAAGCACATGAGATTAACAGCTGTCCTTCTGACAATAGTTTGCTCCCTTTGGAATAAAAAATTCAGAGAATTCTGTTTTCTGCTTTGTCTCTGAATTGCAAAGTAGCATGTCATCAAAGAGTGCTTCACAGAGAATTTATTTAGGATATTTGTGACCGTTTCCATTGACTTTTGCCTTCCTAACTTTTCTTACCTCTAGCTAAGCCTGTTGTGTAACTGTTTGAAAGGAGCAGGGCTTGAATATTGCACGGAATCTTTATCTAGAGAAAACCAGAGCAGCTGACAGGCTTTTAGCTGTGCTGTTCAGAAGCATATCCACAAAACAGTCTTCCAGGAGAAAATTAAGAACTTGATTTGTAATGCTTTCAGTATGGTGTCAAGGATTCAAATCTGGTCTGAATTTGGAGGAAAAGCTCTTCCAGGAGCTGAGGAATGCCAGGATTCTGTGGGGACCAGGGAACAGTTGTCAGGGCTCTGGCTCCGTGGTGGAGATGACAGGAAAAGATGGCTGGTCAGTGGACTGATCAGGGGGGAAAAAAAAGAGATGATCAAGGAAAAAGCATTAATAATAAATAAATAATAAGCCCTGGGTGTGTTTGGCAGCAGGAGAGTGCCTTGTGCTCATTTGTATGCTGTCCTCACGGCACAGCAGTGAGGAGGGGAGGTGTTACAATTCCCTTTGGGCAGATGTGGAGATGGGGCTATGAAGATGCACAGGAGTGCCTGGGACAGAGCAGAGCAGAGTTTGTGTTCCATGATTAGCAACCCAGCCATTGCTGACAGCCCATCAAAGGCCAGGGTCTGCAGGGAATAGGGAGGCCATCCATTGGCTGATTTGGGTTTGTCCCCTTTGCCCTGAGATTGGTCCCACAGCTCTTGTCTATCCTTCATCTTGGGGAAAAACCCTTCCAAGCAGCAATCAGTGTTTGAGTTTAAAATGCAATGGGCTGTTGCTGATTTGGAGCTGTAGTCACTCAGATTTGCAGCTGCAGAGACTGACTTTGTCATTCTTATGCCCTCTGAACATGAGGAATGGCTGCTGGCCTTGGCAGCCGCGGTGGACTGGCGTGTGGTCAGTCCCTGCTGCAGGGGCTGCCAGATGCTGTGAGTGCCATGGTGCTGGCATCCTCCTTGCCATTGTTCTGGGGTGATCTCACCCTGGCCCCAGGGACCATGCCATCAGCACTGCTGGCTGCCTCCTGGCCCACGTGTCCTTATGGAGACATTGGTCTGACATCCCAGGGGGGAACAGTGATGGGCACAAGTTAGCATCCTAAAGTATTTGGTCCTGCCTTCAAATTGTCCAAATTTTCATCAGGATTCTAAATCATAGATTTTTATTTATTTATTTTTATTTATAGCACATACCCGAAGTCTTCTAAGAAAACTTTTGGGATAATGTGACAAGGGAATCTCTGTTTTGTTGACAAGTCTGGTATGACTCCTTCAGCTATGGACAAAGCCCCTTAACCAATCTACCTTGGCTTTCTGGTCTTAATGTAGAGACTCTAATCCTCTGATTCATCCTGTTTCCCTCTCTTGCTCTTTAGATGGTAATTTTTTAGGCTAAGGACTGTCCCTGATTGTATAATACCCTGTACTCTGGCCTAAAATAACAGTTCAGTATTTTATTCTTAGTCCTAGCATGTGTTTTCTACGTGACACTGGGACAATCACTCGCCCTTTCAGTGTTTCTGTTTTCCTATCTGCAAGGCAGAGATAATGCCTACTTCCAAAGCAGATCCCTTGGCTGGAAGGTGCCACCTACGTGCCGAGAGCCCTGTCATTCCCTCTGCTAATGTGATCATCATTTAATGGGGACAGGACATTCTGTTTTGTAGCAGTGGCTGTCCCCTGTGAATGCAGGGACCTGTAATGGATCTGGACCGGGGGTTGAACCACTGCTGCATGCGCTGCCCTGATGAACAGTGGCATTTCTCTTTTCAACAGCTGGGCAGCATTGTCTCCTGTTAGGTTTGTATGAAGATAAGATGGGTTTTGTTCACATACTGCTTCCCCCTCAGCACTGTTCAAACCAGACAGAGGCTTCTTTGACATGTTAGTGGTGACTTGCTTCTGTTGAAGTCATGAACATTTTTTTACCAAGCAATTGATGGGAGCCAATATTTGTCTGTGTGGCAGTGCAATGAAGTGATATAGCTACTGTTGTGAAACAATCAATGAACTGATTGATTAAATTATTTTAGATATTGCAATGTGTATTATATATACTATAACTTAGATTGACTCTAAATTGCACTTGTGTCTGCAAAATACAGGTGTGATGGCTGGGTTCAATATGAGTGGAGATCTCCAGAAGCCTTCTTCCAACATCCCTCTGGGGTCTCTGGCTGCTATCGGCACCTCGTAAGTCATTGATTGGGGAATATTTGCTCTGGAGACTGCCCTGAGTGTGACCAATCCATTTCATATTCCCATCAGCCTTTTATTACTCAGCCATCTGGAAAATTAAAGTGTGGCTCTCATTCAAATTGTCATCCATTACCACCACATACTCTGGGTGGGCTGGAGATGTTTGTTAGTGAGGATGTACTCGGTCCTTCCACTGCAGGGTGGGATCTGTGCTGGTGCTGGGTGCTTGTGCTGCTGCAGCCTGGCTGCCCCCGAGTGAATGCAGAGTTCTCCAAGGCTTGGTGGGGCATGATTTTGTCATTCACTGCTGTAGATTTCAGGGGGGGGGGGGGGGGGGAGGAGGTTTATTGCTCCCCCTCTTGTGTTCTTTTTCTATATAAATAGAAAAGAAGTATCAAAATTTTGTATTTTTTATTACTGGGCAAATGAGGGCAAGAGAGATGAGATGACCTATCCACCTGCAAGACAGGGGAAGCAGAGGCCCTGCATCACCAAGGCATGCTCTTCCCAAGGAAATACTGCTTTCCAGGAGAACTTTTCACTGCTGTTTATTAAAAAAAAAAAGCCCCGTAGGTTTTCCTGCCTGCTTTTATTGCCATCTAAATTGACTTTGAAATTATTTCTTTTAATTGTGTACCAATGTTCAGTTAGGAAGGAAGATTCTTCACAATTTGGAGGCATTCCTGCTGGAGTTGGTGCTTGTTTTAAGAGGGGGGATTCCACAGGACACAGTAGTATCACATGAGTCCATCTATCCAAGGCTGTGGTCATTCCCTTCTCTGCTGTCTGGGCTTTACAGACAAAATTATCCTCCAGCCTGAGTATTGAGAGGCCAGAACTCCAGAAGAGGATCTGGCTGAGGCTGCAGAGCAGGCTGGCTGTGGTGTTAATGTTGCTGCCAGGTGGGGGGACCTGTGTACCTGCAGAGCCACAGAATCACAGAACAGTTTGGGCTGGAAGGGACCTTCAAAGGCCTTCACCCCCTGCAATGAGCAGGCACTTCTTCAACTGGATCAGATTGCTCCATCAAGGTCCATCCTGACCTTGAGTGTTTCCAAAGATGGGGCATCCACCACCTCTTGGGGCAGTCTATTGCCATGTTTTACCACCCTTATTGTAGAAAATTCATTTTTTACAGCTAGTCTGAATTGACCCTCTTTTAGTACATACCATTACCCCCTGGCATTTTGCTCCAGGCCCTACTAAAAAGTCTGTCCCTAGGACTGGGATATTTGCTCCCTGCACACCTAAGGAGTGGGGGTAGCCTCCCCTCAGGGTTGGTGTCAAATTCATCCCTGAAGTGAAATTATTCAGGAACCATGCAGAGTGACTGAAGACCCAACTTGTGGGCATGTGACCGTCTCCTGGCTCTCCTAGGGGCAGAATTCTCTATGTTCTTGTCTTGCTGTGAAGAAATTGGTTTATTTTTGTTGTTTGCAGGTGGTTTCTGTACATGGTCTTCGTTTTCTTGCTGGGAGCCATTTGTACCCGGCAGTCTCTCCGCTATGACTTCATGATAGCAGAGAAGGTAACTTGAGGTTTTTATAATGGTGCTTTCAGGTTGCCATCTGCCTTACTGAATGCCTGAGCTTTTCAAAAGCCTAAGGAATGTGGCTACACATCCCTCATTAAAATTTCCCTGTTGCAAATCCCAGTGTACAATTGGTTTGAATAGCCTTGCATTCACCAGCATATCCCGTAATGCCAAACCTTGGCATTGTCACCCAGCAATAGCTTTAAGAGCTAAGGTATGGTAATGTGGTCTAATGATGAATGCTGTATTTTATTCCATGTATCCTTTCTCGTTGGTGAAAGCTTAGACCAAATTGAAATCTCTGAAGAACCCCCCTGCTTATTTTGACAAAGCCAAGCGAAGCTCACATTTCCATATCTAGCGGGCTGTAATTGCAGGGTGAGCAATTGGATTATTAAGCTCAAGATATTCCACACAGAGTATTTACATGAGGGGGGTGTGCAGTGTAACACACAATGAGCCTTACCACTGCAGGCCTCTAAGAAGAGAGCAAGAGATTTTGGTGTGTGCCATTGTCTTTCTTTGGATGGGATGTGGAAAGGCTAATTTTCTGTTATTGGGTATTGTCCAAAATCACGGGTTCACTGTATTTGACACTTTTTTTTGTGATTCATTTGAAGTTGAGAAGTTTACATTGTTTGATCTGTAACATGGTTTTAGTCTAAAATATCCATTTGAAACTCTGGTTTTGTTTCTTAGCTCGAAACTTCTTCCAGCTCTAAACTTCTTCCAACCCCCCAGATAAACTCCCAATTATTGGTAGGTCTCTGCCACTACCTGCTGAGGTAAAAAAAATCCACCACTGTTTCAGGGAAAAAAAGAATGAACCTGCCTTCTCTAAGGCAACCTCTTTATATGTCAATGACTTAATGGGCAAAAAGTGCAGTATCCAAAAGAATCAGCTTTAAATGAATCTGCTGAAGAGAAAGAGATTGTTAAAGCTGTCCTTTAACTTCAGAACTCTCAGTGGGAAAATCAAAAATCCCTAGTAATGAATGAGAAGATATTTAATACTGTCAAATACAAAAAATAAACAAGCAAATACCCCTCTCCAAAAAAGTAAATTCAATTTTCTTTCCCCTAATACAGAACAAACAAATGGTGCAATATTCATGTTTCTTTGAGTTATTACAAGATGCTTTAGATTTTAATGACTTTGGAGAGAGGAAGGGGGGAGAGATCATTACTTCTCCAAACTCTCCCTTTCTATCACAGGTGAACGAATGCTTGGCTGCTTTTCTCTGTTGCAATATTTGTTTGGCTTTTTAAACACAAAAATGAGATTCAGTAATTTCACTTCTAATGAGCTCCAACTGCCAATTCCTTGCAATGTATTCACACTCTCTATGTTCAAAACTCTTAGCAAAACCTTTCATCAGCCTCAGTGAAAGGGACTCTTCCCCTCTAACCCTGATTTGAATGTCAAGTAGCACATTTAAATGCAAGCATTTTTGGCAGCTAAAATAATATATGATGTCTGGCACAAGTGTTTGTTTCTTCCGAGTATTTCTCGGAGCAGGGTAGGATTAGAGGAGAGGGAAGGGAGGATTCCCCACTGAGTGTCTGTCTGCTGGGCTAATGAGAGCTGCTATCTGCTCATCTTTGCCTCAGGTTCCTTCTGTCCCACAAGATACAATTCACAAGGCCAAGTGGATTTTCATGGGGAAATGTTGTGGTAGGAAGTTTGAACAGTTCTGGATCATGATGTTAATTTCACTTGCCTTCCCCAAGAGAAAGGTTTTTATGGCTTTTTACCCAATCTCCTTTTTGCTGCCTGCAGATTTCGTAGACAAAAAACCAAAGTCAGATGTAGCTTGAATCATCTTTAGCCATGTAAATTTTTGTAATTCCTCCTAAAAAAGCATGTGCCACCTTACTTCAATGGGGGCAGAAGCTGGGAGGACTTGTGTTCATTTAGACCCTCTTTTCCATGGAAGGAGGGGTGGGAGCAAATGTGGGATGCAGGGGACCTGCATTTGGAGACATCCTCAGTCACAGATATTTGTCTGCACCTCCAGCATTCAGAGGAGTATGGGCATGTTGGATTTGGACCAAAATGTGAGGTTTTTCTCTCTGCCTGGCATTTGTGCTGGAGTTACTCCCATGCCATTCTCCTTGCCTGGCTGCTGGCTGTCAGACCTCTGTGGTCTCACAGGACTTGGGGGTGTTTCAGGTGACCCTGGACTTTGTTCTCCTTATTTTTTCTGTCCAGGTCCTGCAGTGCCAGGAACACTCCCATTTCAAAGCTTTCTTGCACAATGTTTATATTGTGGGGTTTTGTGTATTTGGGTGGGGTTTTTTAGATACACTCTCTGTGCTTGCAGCTCTCGACAGTGGGGACCTGCTTAGGGGGACCCCAGTCCTCACTTCTGTGTGACAGACCAGGAGCTGTCCTTCCTTTCCCTCCACACCTGCAGGAGATGCTCCCAGCTTGAAAGGGTGCTTCAAAAAACAGTTCTAAACCCAGTCTTGTTAGCAGTATGACTTTAAATTTTTTCTTTTAGTGTTTCATGCTGGCCAAAGGAAATTCTTTTCTCATTGAAGACAGGAAAATAAGGTCATTGTATTACATCCTTTGGAGCGTGTTTTTTGAGATGCCATTTACTTAAGTGGCAATTTTGATTTGGTTGTACTGTGGGTTTTGCTTCAGGATTGGTTTTCCCCTCTGAGACACAGGGGTTTGTCTTCCTGTTTTGGATGGTGGGAAGCCTGGGCAGCTTTTCCTGTATGATGTGCTCTGTATATAAGTGATCTTGCCTGAAATAAACTCACTTCCAGTTACTTAAGGGGAATCTAATAGCTGCTGCTTTGCTGCAGTTGCTCCAAGTGACAAAGAATTCCTTGGATATGAGCTTGTAAAATGGTTCTGTCGGTACAGGATGTTCAGTATTAAATTACTTTTATGGGATAATTTTCCTGTATTAATTGCTTGTACTTTATACCACAGACCAATTAAATTGCTGCTCTCCCAGGGCTTGCTCTGTTCATTTAACAACGTTAGAAAATATATGTGATCTGTTAAAATACGTGTATTTAAGATTGCTTAGGTGTCTTTAAGGCATAACATAATGAACTTTGCATTCTCTCTGTTTCCTCCAGGTATCCTTGGTGGGGTTTTTGTTTTTGCTAGGGCTGTACATCTCATCCCTGGCCTCCTGCATGGGAGGGCTGTATGGAGCACCCCGGATCCTGCAGTGCATTGCCCAGGAGAATGTGATCCCCATGCTTGCTTTCCTTGGACGTGGGGTTAGTCATCCTTTCTGCAGGATTGCTGTCAAACCTTCACCTGAGCTTAAGAAGCCAAGATTTCTATGTGTCTGTGGAGTGAGATGGGGGGATGCATGAAATGCGAGGAGGGGAAAGCTCAGGATCTGGTATCCCATGCATAGGCAGAAAAGCCAGGAAATGGGTGGTTTTATGAAAAAAAAAAAAACCAAGCATCCAACTATCTGTGGTCCTTTCCCTGCCTGTCCCTGTGTGCACTGCCTCTGCTCTGAGCCCTGCCACAGGGTTTGGCATCGTGCAGTGCTGGCACTTCACTCCCACCGTGTGCTCTGCCCTGGGGCTCTGTGTCCTGCCCTCATGCACACTCAGCCCCTCCTGGGCTGCCATCAGTCCCCTCCCCCCTGATCCACTTGCTCAAGATGTGCCCAGCAGGACAGGCACTTATGATATAACTTTGCCTGTGGGGTATTTGCAAACACCTTCTCCAAGCTGGTGCTGATCCCAGCCAGGACCGAAGGAAGCACCTCCCTCTCCTCTGCCCTCCTGCCCAGGGCAGAAGCCTGAAGCTTCTGTCCCAGCACTTGGTGAAATAGATGGTAACTGTCTCCTTACCTTTTATCTGTTTCTTTCTTGTTCTTCTTTCCTGTACATTTTCTTTGGTCTGTTCCTGTCCTCTGTGGTAAGCTCAGAGCTGAGTGCTTGGCCAGCTGTGATGCTCTGGATTCAGTCTGTGTGCAGTGGAGAAGAGGACACTTCTTTGGAAGATAAGGTGCCTTTGTGACACTATTAAATAAAAACAATGAATAGATTTGAAAGGTTAAGTGAGGGGTCTTCTAAGCTTTAGATATGCATTGGAACAAAGTCTTGCTTGGAATATGACAAGAAGCTTTTTCCTTGCTTCGTGAACAGTCTTTATGCACAGCTCATTCTACTGATACCAGTCACCAAGGACTCTGTAGTCTTGGGCTATACATCCATACATGATTTTCCCTTTTTTTGAATAGGGAGAAAATAATTCCATCACTCTCAATAATCTGGAGTACCTAAGTGTCTGTACAGAGTGTCTGGAAAAGCCTTATCATGCTTTGCTCCTTCAGAGTGGCTTAAAATACAGAAAAATATTTTTTCAGTATTGATATTTATGAATGTTCAAAATATTTAAATATTTTATAAATATCATAATTTTCTCTCTGTTGTTTTATGTTTCTCAAAGCAGTTTTCTAAACTAAAAGTTATAATAATAGCAAAAATAATAGTAATAATTGTAGAGAAATGAGGAACAGTAATGACTGCAAAAACTTCCAGCTCCTGAAGGCAGTTTTCAGGTGATCTCAGAATGAGCTGTTCTCTACTTGGCAACTCTTATGAAATTCTCAGTGGTTTAGCAAAGTTGATTCCTTCTCTTCTCTTCTCTGATAGTTTTCTGTCTTTCTGTCAAATTTTCTGCTCTGAACTCCAAGTAGAGTGCCATGATGGGAAGGGCTCAAAAAGAGGTGAGAAATCAAAGGCAGACCACTTCTCCCCCTTCCATCTTTCCACACCTTGGGAATTGTTTAGATTTGGTTTATGGAGAGTAAATACATTTAATTTGTCCTTACCAATCTACTCCACATCAGTTCTTTTTCATGGTTGAAGAAGGTGGTGTGGTCACCATAACCCCAGCTGATGGGGAGGACACAAATGTTTTCTGTGGAGTTAAATCCAAGCCAGATGCATCCTGAGGTCCTCCCATCTGTTCCCCATCTCAGTACATCTTTCTGATACTGAAGATGCTTTCTGAGATCTGTCTTCCTTTGGCCCTAAGATGTATTTTTGTTCATTCTGAAAAGATGCAATTGTCCAGAACTTGTTCCCTTTTCTATTAATAAATAAGAGTGGAGGAAACAGAAAGAGTTTCCATTTGAGCAGTGTGTTTATTAAAGAAGTGAATGCAGTTAAGTGAAAACTTAAGATGCTTTGTAAGATATCTTGTAAGATATTTTTAAGCAAAGTCTTACACAGCTTGCACTGGCTTGTCAGGTGGCAAAATGGCAAGATGGTGCCTGGTCCAAGGAAGGGTGTGTTAGACCTGGGATCAAAGCTCATGAGCCAAAGGCTCAGGTATTCCCACTCCCAATGCTCTTTGTTTTGTGCCTCTTTTCCTTCCCCTTTCCCTGCCTTCAGCCAGTCCCAAAGGACAGGAGCAGGCAATGTTTCTCCTGCCCTCCTGACACATGCCTGGGGTTGCTGGGGCTGACTGCCACCCCATGTCCCCCCTGCCCAGCCTCAGTGCTGCTTTCCAGCTGCTGCTGGGGTGGGTGGAAGGAGGGCAGCCCCACCTGCACAGGCTCAGTGCTGCTTTCCAGCTGCTGCTGGGGTGGGTGGAAGGAGGGCAGCCCCACCTGCACAGGCTCAGCTCACCATGGGCTCAGCTTGGCTGCCTGGCAGGGCCAGGAGCTGCTGATGTGCAGGTGGCACTGCCTCATGCAGAGCTTTTCCAAGGGCAGCATCAGGGAGCCTTTTGGGTAGGCAGTGATGCAGAGTCCTGTGGAATAATTAGAGATGAACAGTTAACTCTAATTAACACGTTTTATTGCCAGACTTCCCATAAGCCCCACAAATCTCTCTGAAGGTTTATTGCTGCTTTAATGACATTGTTTTACCATGGAGAGATGAATGAGAGTGGATGAATTTACCAAAGACAAAGACTGAATAAGGCTTAGAAATGAAGTGGGAGCTCCACAGCTTTTGGCTTCCACTCAGTTCTTTAATTTATTAGGCCTGTGAGCCTCTGTTTGCACATGCATGTATTCATGATTAGGGGGGTACTGCAGACAGCCCAGGTAACCACAAACAGCAGCTGAGCAAGTGGGGAATCCTCATGGCAAGGTTCATAGTTATTAATTTAAATGTATTTTTGTTTTATTTATGAACTAGAAAGGCCCCAACAAGACTCCAGTGGCTGCGATTTGCTTAACAAGCCTCATCACCATGGCTTTTGTCTTCATTGGGCAAGTGAATGTTCTTGCTCCCATAGTCACCATCAACTTCATGCTGACATATATTGCTGTGGACTATTCCTATTTCTCACTATCCCTGAGCTACAACTTTCAGCAGAAACCTGAGGAGACCCAGATGGGAGCTGCTAGACCTGCTCACCCCTCCCAGCCTTTAATTTTCAACAAGCCCCCCAGCCGTGCAGCAGCTGGGGTAATTCAAAGCAGATCGAATGGCACCTTGCTGGAATTCAAAAAAGACATGGACCAGCTTTTTAAACCATTTTTTAGTGAGCCAAGTACTTGCAAAAGAGAAGGAGCTGAGAATTTAACCCAAAAGGGCAAACAAAAGAAGGCAAAGAAGCCAGCCAAGCAGACATTACAAGACAGCTTTCTCCTGGATCTCCATCAGGATACTCCCCTGGCTCAGAACAGCTGGGATGAGACCACAGAGCCCCATGGGAGGCAGCAGGATGTGGATGAGCAGGGCAGTCAGTGGGATGCAGGTCTGGGCTCATCACCCCCTGTGGGTGCCCAGCACATACCCAGGAGGATGGAGCAGAGGGAAGAGCCCTGCAGTGAAGTGATGATGCTCCCTGGCCCAGGGGGAGAAGGTAAGGGCTGTAGGAGATGGACATCTCCCTGTTCAGAGGAAATTGTTTATAACCTTGGTCCTCCCAGTGCTTTCCTGAAGGCAGGCATGAAACAAGCTTTATATGGGGCTGTCATTCAGTGATTCATGGCAATAATATCATTTATTCCAGGTGAGGGTAGAGTTCATTGCAATGCATCACAGGAGAAGTTCCAATGCAATTTCCTACAGAAGATTAATCACAGGAAAGCAGGCAGGACTAAATTTACTGCTGGGTTGTTTACGATATACTCATAATTCTTCACAGGCCTGCTGAATGCTGTACATTAAAAAGGGTTTAGGTGTATCTTGGGATTTACCTCATCCTGGTGTGGGGTAGGATGGTTGGAGCCCTGTGACTCTAAAACTCAGGCTATCTTAGTGCAGTGGTCCCCGCAACACAGGTGGAGTCTGCAACTCAGCATCCATAGGTGAAGATCTGAATTTGTGGTGATGTGGGTATTTGATACAGCATGTGTGCGTGGAGTTTGTCATTCCCAGTGCTGTAGTGTTTCATCAGCATTAGTCAGTTAAGCTTCCTAAACCCCTCTGAGGGAGGAAAGTATTATTTTTCTTATTTCACAAATTGTGAAGCTAAGGCAGAGATAGATGCAGCCTTCAAATGGACTTAGTAGCAGAGCTGGCAACTTTTTGGTTTTTCCCTTGCGCTTCTTTTCAGTTTTCATTTTGGAGGTTTTGGTTTAACTCTGTCATACCCAGCTGTCAGCTAGAATTTTTGCTTTGGTTCCTGGAATCTGGTAATGTAAAGAAGAGAAAAAAACCCCCAAATTATAGCACCTTTCCAATTTATTTTTCTTTTCATTTTCTTTAGAATCATCTATAAAGCAACAAAATCCAGAACTGGGAATTCAGCAAATACCAGAAACCTTCTACTCCAGATTTTTCAGTCACTGGATTTCCTTTGCTGGTGTAAGTAATTTTCTTTTATTTTGAGCAGTGTTTTGTGATAGTAGAAAACAGAAGAACATTCATTCCATACTGCAGTGTAAGTACTCCAGTACCTTAAATAATGGTACTTTTGATAGTGTAAGTACTCCAGTACCTTAAATAATGGCTTTTGATTCTCGTATTCTAGGTCACCTGAGCTAAATTCTCCAGGTACCATGCCTTGCAGTTCAAATTCAGGAAAAGCCAATGGCATATTAAATTAAATAACAACAGGAAAAAAGCCAAACAAACAAACTCCAACGCAACTCAAAAGTACAAATTCAAAGTCTGGAGTCTTAGGACTTTAAAGATGCATGGGGAAAAAAAATAATCAGTGTCTCTCTTTTCCCTGTGTGCCAGTCTGCTTTTTCTTGCTGTGTAATGGACTGGGACACCATCTTCAAAGCTGTGTTGCTTTTATTAATGGGTCAGTTTCTGCAATCTTAGGGTGGGGTTTCATTAGAGCTGACTTCCTGATACCAGCAGCCCAGCTATGAAATTCCATCTTTTGAGGGAGGAAAGGAGAGCATTCCTACAACATGTTACTTTAAATAACTTTTAAATAGCTTCTGCCTCAAGTTGCTGAGAAGTTTAAGACACTTAAATTTATCTTGGGAAGATGGATTATTGGGCAGATGACAAGGAAAGGGTCAGATATGCATAATGAATGAGCCATATGGCTTTGCTGCATGGATGAGGATTTCATAGCTGTGCATAAAATGTAACAAACCCACTCAAACAACAAACCCCGTTAGCTTAGTTAACTCCTCAGATGGAGTTGGACACCTGCTTTTCAAATTCACCACTGCTGCTGCCAGCAGCCAGCTCCTGGTGAGGGATTCCACTGGGCACCGGGGCTGGGCAGGGAGTGGTGGCCCCTCTTTGGGATGGCATCTTTAGGAGGTTGTGTGCTGATGCCATCTCTGGGCTCGTCTCTATTGTGGCTCCCAAGTGCATGTTAGGGCAGAGCCATCAGCTCTGCCTTTAAAGGGGAATTTGCTTATGGAGATGATGGATGTGCTCATTAAAGCAAACTTGGTTTCCTGTCAATGATCAGGCTTGGGAGGAGGGTGCAACAGAGCTGGGATGGGATTGATAATGCAAAATAAAATCACAAGAGCAAAAATTGGATGTGTTTACTCATCCTGACTCCTCTCCCCTCTCTCTTTGAGCTTCACTTGTGTCAGTTGAGACCATTTTAGCCCTTTCTTTGTGTGCTGCCATTGCTGTTCCAAACATCTCCCATGGAGATGCTACCTCTGCCCCTGGTTTGTATGCAGCTTGAGCCAAACCTCCTCCTGAGCTGGTGAGCCTCTGGATACTTCTCTTGGAGAAGCCCTGGCAGAGACCCACACTGCCCCTGGGAGTCAGGGTAGCTCACTGGAGCTACCTCCATGCTGCTCGAGGTGACACTGTAAACCTGTGCTTTCCCTCCTTTTAAGGGTGAGACCAAACAAGGCTCCCTGTAACATGGAAACCTGAGCTTTGCCTCTCCATGGTATTACCTCCCAGACTCTGGGGTAACCCCAAGCTGTGTCTTTCCAACAGGCAATTGTGTCCCTCATCATAATGTTTGTCATTCAGTGGATCTACACCCTGGTCAGCCTGGGAGCAGGGGTTATCCTGTATTTCTACATCGGCCAAGTCAGCCCAGGACTCCCTCTTGGTGAGTTTTTTTTCTCTGTACTATTAAACCTGCTTAAAAATCCATTAAACTTTAATTTAACTCAATTAAGAATTGAGATTCTTGTGTTTAATACGTGGGTGACACAGTGAACAATGACAATTTGTTTCATTGCTATTTTAATACATTTTCTCTCTGAGTCTTTAATTTTCTCTTAGATTCTAACTATAACTAGCATTGGTGTGATAGTTTGAACGTGGTGCTTGTTGCTTTATTATATTGTGCTTCAAATGGGAAAAACAGTTACTAAGATTTGATAGGGGTGGCATTTTGTAAATGTATCCCAGCAATGAGAAAAATCTGCCATAAATAAGGTTTATTAAACCTAATCAATCTAAACCCACCTGAGAGAAGTTTATGGAAAATGGGAATTAAGATGCATGTCTCATCAAATCTCGGCATTCATAACTGTGGAACAAGAGAGCCTTTTGATTCCAGAGCTAAACACGTTGAATATGTTGGGAACATAATCTGGGAAAACACTTTAAGGCAGAGAGCATTAGAGAGATCTGCACATGATCGGCTTAAACAAGTTCAAGATTAAACAGTGAAGCACATTCAGCAAGCAGCTCATGAGAGCCACAGCTCCTTGGCAAGGCCAGTGGGGGGGGTTTGCAGTGCTCTGTGTCTCTGAAGGGACATGGTGTGGGCATCCTCACCTGCCCAGGGGTGAGTGTGTGTATCCATCCATCCATCCATCCATCCATCCATCCATCCATCCATCCATCCATCCATCCATCCATCCATCCATCGGCAGGTGCGTGAGGTACATAGCTGAGTGCATGCCTGGATGTGCAGTTTTTTGTCCAGGATGAGAAAAATCAAGTATGAAATATGAGTTCATATGCAATATGTGCAGAAATAGCTACCTGGGTTTATTTAGGTGCAAGATTATTAGACAGTAGGTAAGTAGGTACTAGATTTCAGAAATGCACGTGATGAGAAACCAAAAACTAATCACCACCTTCCAAACATTGCTAAATTGTTCTTTTCTACTCTTGAGTGACTTCCTTTCTATGTATCTGTAGGGGATAGTAGAAAAGAGCTGAGATTGTGGTTAGTAGCTGCTAATTTGTATCTTTTGAAATATATATATGTTTTAATCAAATTCTTTATGGCCCCCATATATCAAAAAAACCAGAAATAATGTTTTCAGGTGTTGGAGTCTTTTTTGCCTTTGTATACTCACTGTATTTATATCTCTGTAATCTGCTTTTGAAATATTTATCAAAAATTACTTTAATAAGAATTTCTCTTCCAGTGTGTAGAGGGCTTTGGAAGCTGATCTGAGAAATAGCAGCAAGATTGGACATTTTTTTCTTGGTTTCTTTTTCTCATGCATACAATGAGACAATGCATGACATTGAAAATGTTAGCAGTGGATGCTCAAAATTCAGCCTGATTTTTACTTGGCTGCGAGGGAATGTAATTTTGTGGTCACAAGTCTCTGATGGTCTGTGAGTTTGTTCTTCAAAGGATCAAACAGCCCTTCTGTCTGGAAAGGCTGGGAGACACTGGCCTGAGAGAAGCTTTGCATTAGGGGCTAGATGAAGACCTTGGGAGGAGAAATTCCCTGTGGTTGACACATCCCTTCTCTCTCTTCCTCCCCAGCGGCCTAAGCCAAATCCAGCAGGCACTGACAGGGCTTGGTTATCCCTGTCCCTCACCAAAAACGTCTCCTGCTGCTCTTGCTTCCAGCTCTGGCACTTCCCTGCCCCTGCAGGAAACTAACTCTACAGAGAAATCAGAAAAGAAATCAGTGCTGGTGTAATAAGCTAAGCCAGCTCTCTGTGGAGTCAGACATGAGGAAATCATTGGTGACACCACAGCCACCCTGGCTGAGGTTGGCTGAATGGCTCCTCCTGTCTCCCTGTCCCTGCAGTGGGAAAGGTTTTTGCAGTCCAGGGAGTGAAAGGCATTGTGGTGGGTGTCTGTGCTTTGCTCAAGCTTTACTGGGGTTTAACAAACTCTCAGGCTGGGAATGCATAGTTGTTCTCCATAGGAAATTTGGGTTCATACTGGACAGTTGTTTAAAAGCCACAGCATGTAGGAAGACTGCAGGAATGTTCTCACTATCACAAAATCTTTGGGTACTGCAGGCTAATAACAAGGTTTGAGATTTTATGCAAAAATTCAGTGGTGTAATGCTATTATGAGAGAATTAGCAGCATACTGACTTCTTGTGCCTTTTCTCCATAGGAGCAGCAGCAAATTTCAGTTTCTTTGGCTGGATTAAGTCGGTTTTGATCTCTTCATGCAGGTTGGTACCAGTCACTTGGCAGTGACCAACCCACTGCTCATTGTTCCCATGACCCACTAATGAGCACAGAGAGGGCTGGAAGAATTGACTTGCTTATTACCTTAAGCAGTCTTTCTGCCCCTTCTTGCATACTCAGAGTTATTCTTGCTTAATTGTAAAAAGGCTGTTTGCTTCCCATTAGCCTGGCATATGGTTGGCTGTGTATGTGGGGAAGCAGGAGTTTCCTCTGCTTTGTGTGTGGGAATGTCAGCTGATAACTGTATCATGGGGCCTGAAGCTTTATCTTAGCCCAAAGGTCTGTGCTCAAAATCTATGGCTCAGGTTGAACTGGGAAATCTGCAAGGAAATGAGAAATTGGAGACTCCTTCTCTTCCACCCATCATTCACCAAAAGCAAATTCCTCTGGTAGTGTTGGAACAGGCACACATGGCAGCTGTGTTCAATTTTCAGAGAGGAAATCTAGGGTGGGGGAGCTGCAATAACTTTGGGGCAAATATGATAAACAGGGTCTTTGGTGAAGGAACCATTCAGTATTGAGTTTACATGGGACTGGAGTAGCATTGTCTTGGGGTTTTGATTACCAGAAGACCTTGAGGGTTTTTTTTTTTTTTGGGGTGGTTATTAACTAGTTTTGTTAAACTTATTTGATGCTATTAATTATTAATTCCATCTAATTGAGTTTCCTGTAGCAGCTTATGAGCACCTTTGCCTCTGAGCAGTGGGCTTTGAGTTTCTCAGTCTGTTGGGTTTCTTTTTTGCTGGGGTGAGTGAACACCATAGGGAGGACTGTGCAACATGAGCTGCCACACATTATATGTGCCAATTTGCTGCCTCCTTCAAAATAAATCAAAGTCCAGCCAATTAAACACATTGGTCTGTCTTGCCAGGTCCTGTCTCTGCTCACAGTTCCTATAACATGACCACAAGCTTTTGGTGAGCAGGGGTGGTTGGGGAGAGAAGCCAGGGGTGAGGGATCTCTCTGAGGTCCCTTGGTAGGCCTTAGACATAACAGCACTTAATTTATACTTTAATTTAAACCACTTAACAAAAGATTCTTATGGAATTATGATGCCTTTGCATCTTCTCAACAGGTAGAGGGTTGAAATTTGAAGAGTGGGGGAATCAGCCCAGGCTCTGTAATCAGCATTTGGTGATGGTCCTCCAAGTATAGCAAACTTGAGAGTTCACTGCTCTGAGAGGCCCCACTGAGGGAGATGCTGGTCTCAGCCCACTGTGGGTCAGGAGAGCTCAAAGGGCCTCACTCTGGACTGCTGCTTACAGTGTAGCAAGAGAGTTGGCTTTGGTCATAGTAATTTTCCATCCTGGCCACAATTTTTGTCAGTAACTTTCTTTGAACGCTCTATTACAAAAAGGTTGTTCCACTTGGGTTGTTACTCATGCAAGAAAAATAAGTTTCCAAGGATATTCATTAAAAACCAGGAGCTGTCAGCATTAGTTCCCTGGAGCAGACAGTGTCTCTGATAAGCTCAGGAGGAGCTGAGCCCAGGTGCTGTTTGTCAAGGCTGAGCCTAACAAGCATTTCTCAGATCACAGTGCAGCCCGAGGGGCAGGGGGAGTGGGATGCACCACCACATATGTTTTCTGCATATGGGATTGTCCCCTATCCCCTTGCACAGTCCCCTGCTGACTGGTGACACAAGCCCAAGCCAAGGGTGAGGAGTTAAGACTGGGAACAGGGTAAGTGGGGCCATGCTGAAATGCTGCCAGAATTACTCATGGCACAGTGAGCCAGACCCTGCTGCTTCATACCCCGGGCAGTTCTGTCTGCTGCCACCCCAGGCAGATTTGTGGCTGGTTATTTTAGCTCGGTGCCTCTGTGATGACAGAACAGCATTTTCCTCCCAGTTGTCCTTTGGTGCATCTCAGTTGTGTCTCCTGCCCGCTGTCAGAAATCCCTGTGTGAGTCTGGTTGAGGTGTGAGGCTTCATGGAGAATGACCACGTGGGAAGGAGAAACTATCCCTGCCTCTCGTGTGGAGAGGTGCTGTTGTCACAGGGGGGTTTTATCTTTGGGTTACCAGACCAACAAAGTCCTTGGTTCTTTGGTCAGTGCAATCAATGAGCAAAGACCCTGCCAAGAAAGGCTGAGGGGAGATCTGGTGAGTGCCCAAGGCAGAAACTGATCCTGGTTTTCTCCTCTCAAAAAGTGCAATCTCTGGGTCAGCCAGCCAGCTTGGTCACCTTATCCTAGTGCCAGGCTCCTGCTCTTACTGGCACAAAGAACACCTTGGGTTCTGCTTGGGAGTTGGGTCTATTTGAAGCCCATTTATGTTGTGCTGCAAAAAATTGCATTGAAATAATTTAGAGCTTTTTTCTGAGCCCTGTTTTCCTGAAATCAAGTCAAGATATTTTAATGAATTGGAGAAAAATAATAAGTCCCATTAAGCTGCAAAGGAGTTGGAGGCAGCCAAGGGTTCTTGACACCTCTAAGGCTCTTAGGTGCTTGATGAGGTCTTAGTCAGTACTATATTTGTCTTAGAGTTTTGATTTAAAAATGCCAATAAGGTTTTCTTAAAATCAGCTTCTGGGATGAAGAGATTGTAGGGAAATCTCCTGTTTTATTTAAAAATTACAAAAAGTATTACAATTTTTTTTATTGCTTAGGGGACCATAAAAAGGATATTTTTCATTAGAAATGGTTTGTGCTCCTTCTTCTCTTGCTTGGTGTGGAAGGTGTTGACACAGTCAATATCCAAAGAGGAAGCCCATTTGTTATGAAAACATTTATTTTGCATTGTATATCTGGGGAAAGGGAGATAATTTCTTTTGTGCCTTCTAAGAAAAATGCTCTCAGGTTAACTCTGTGCCTCCAAGGGGCACTGAGGAGGATTCAGCCTCTTCTGGAATCACCCTGCCTTGCTGGCACGGCTGCTAATGGATTACAAACAAGGGGTGATGCAGGCACCTCTGCTTCTCTGCTTGCAGGAGAAGGCCAGCTCCCAAGGAGCAGATCGTGGTGACACCATCCTTTGCAACAGTTGGCATGGAGACCAGGCAGCTCACCGAGGAGAACGCAGACTTCGCCTCACGGGACCGCTACCACCAGTCCTCACTCATCAGCAGAGAGGAATTTGGGAGCCAGTTCCAGTGAAGGACACACACACACAAACAAAATCAATCCATTACTTCAAAAAGCATTTAGAAGGGCTAATGGCTGCCACAGGTGCCTTTTGAAGTACTTGAATGTACGCACAAAGGATGTGAATTGCTATTTATGTATTTGAGGCTTGTTTGTTTATGCAAGCTACAGCATTGCTGGGCTTCAAACCTTACCCAAACTGAGGGGAGAAAATGGAAATGAAAGGGCCAGTCTGGGAAGTGATGAGTTACAGAAGACAGTACAACCCTTTTAAGGAATTCAATTATAAGCCCTACTGAGTTCTAAAAAAGGTTGCTGCTCTAAAAGCTTACAACATCCCATTTCAGATGTCCTCTGGGTGACTGGGGACACTCTGCCTGGGAGCAGTGACGCTGACAGCAGGAGCCGGTGCCCCACTCCCAGCTGTGCCACGGATGGATGAGACCTTCCAGGTCAATTCACTTCTCCTCTAGGCATGAATTTCCCTGCTTGTAATACAGTAATTTTCTACCTCAGCATTTCAATTACCAAGGTCTTAGAAAGTATTTTAAGACATTAGACAATAGGCCAGAATCAGTGGCAAGTATGAGAAGATTATGAAGTGTATTCACAACTGAAATCGCACATTTAAGTGCAGGATAATGACCTCTTCTGTAAAACTGTGAAATTATGTCTTAGAAGCTGTTCATAGTTATTTCCCACATCCTTTCTGATGTGAGAGCTGAGACCTGATGAAATACCTGGGCCCACTTAAACCATCTCCTGGCTGAAGGGACAGATGGTTCAGAATTGCTTTAGCAAAATAAGTTTACCCCCAGCACCACACATCAGTTCTGACATTCAGGAAGGGGAAATCACTGCCTTTCACTTTGTTTCATCTCTGATAATTTCAGCTTTTAGATTATTTATTTCTCCTTCTGTGCAATAAAAGCCTGAGACACCAGGAACTCCTCTCCATCCTTTCTGTGGGCACTCTTTGAGCGCCATTCCACCATTCCAGTGCTAAGTGCCCTGGTGTTGCTGGGTGAGGGGACTCCCATCCCATGGCCTGGCCAGCTGCAGTTTTGGCTCTTTCCATTTTCTTACAGAGGGAGGCACAGGAGGCTTTCTGCTGACATGGAGAAAAGAGCCACCTTGGCACACTGCAGAAAGTGTATTCATTTCTCAAGGTTGCAGGTCTTGGACTAAGTGCTTTTAACTTTAATTATCTCAACAGAGGCAAGAGGAAAGTTGTGTTTGCGTGACCTGCTCTGACCCACCTCAAATCAGTCACTCAGTGTTGGAAACACCTTTCCAGGATTCCTTCCTGCCTGCTTCTTGCTGTTGGTTTCCAAAGAATCTGAATCTGCTCTGTGGATTTTGGGCCCATGTTGAAGCTTCTCCTGGGGCCAGTGGCTCCAGAGAGCACTCCCTGTGCTTGTAGCATCCTTAACCTTGGCAGATACCCCTGTTGTGCAAACTTCAAACACTTCTTGGTGCTCCCCACTGTTGGCAAGCTGCTTGGTGCTGTGTTACAGTTTCATTCCTGACCATAATGCCATTACTATAAAATCTTGTATTTCACAAAGTCTGGTCACGTGCATGGTCCCTTTCCTCCTGAGTCAAGGATTGCTCAGCCCCGCATTTCTCTGTAGCTTGAGCAAAAGAAAACCCCAGAGCATGGCATGAAGAGATTAGTAGGCAGAAATTCCTTGGTAGCTTCTTTGTTGGCTACTAAATAATGTAATTCCCTTCTTAAAATAAGACATGAGTTAGGAGGTCCAGAGAGGGAGGGTGGGGAAGGTCCTTGGCTGTGTATCTCGCTTGCTGAGGAGTTGCACTGGTTGAAACCAGATGATTTGGTAGAGAATGTTTGCCTCTTCAACACTGTGGCCCCTGCTTGTCCCTGAAACTGGGATGTGATGGGCCCTTGGTCTAGCAGTGGTGGGAGGAGGTCCCCCAGCTTTGCTTTCAGCTAAGTGTGCAGCAGCTGTCCCCTTCTCCTGCCACCACTGTCCAGCAGCCCTTTGCACCTGAGCATCCTCTGGGAACATTCTAGTTGTGTTTGTGTGCTGGCCAAGCCTCTGCTGGCTGCCAGGGAGAGGCACTGTGCTGTGCCATGCAGGGGCCTGGGGAGTGGACACCTGGAGAGCTCTGGGTGCAGGGATGGGGAGTGCCTCGGTGTGTCTGGGTAAAGGCAGCTGTGGCCCTGGCATCAGCACTGGGTGGTTATTGCTGCTCTTGAGACCTGGCAGTGGAGGGAATGCCTTGCAGAGCACACTGTTCCAAGGGTTTCTGGGGGCTCCACGTGCTGCTGCTGGAGAATCTCTACCACCTCCTTCACTGGCACCTCCACCACCACAGCAGGAAGCAGCTCCTTCCATCACCTGGTAAGCACAGGCACCTGCTCCTTCCCTTGTAGCTGCAGGGAGAAATGCATCACACAATCCTTGCTGCATTACAGGTGAAGAGTACAACAGCCTTCTTGGGTAATGCTGGGAAAGGGGCATGCTGATCTTCCCTGGAGCATTACCTCAGGTGTAGTTAATGGAAAGAGTGGCAGGAGGCCTTGTTTTAGCTCCAGTAATTCTGCAGTCTGGGTAGCATTGGAGACTCCATGAGACACTACAGGAACACAGGGATTTGCACCAAGGAAACTTTTCCAGCAGGAAAGCAAGCAAGCAAGCAAGCAGTTGTACAGCTAAAGATCATGGTGTCACTTCAAAAATGGTTGTAGCTTTGGTAGAACTCTAAAAAAATGGGTGAAATTAGGTGGCAGGAATTTATCATCTTCACATTTAATGGCTGAAGGGAAGAAATGGGGGTGGGGATTGCTCCTGTGAGTGGAAATGTGCTGCTTTCATCCCCTGAGAGCCCATGTGAGCCTCCACATGCTGGGGATTTCATGAAGCTTCAGGTTCCCTGAAGGTGAGTTTGGGGCCCAGCTCTGATCATCAGATGCCTTGTTGTATATCAAGGTTGCAGCTTGGCTACTGTAGTTATGGAAAGGCCTTACTGTTTTTTAAGCCATGTGAGCTTTTTTATCATCCTATAATTATTTTCGTTTTGGTTTGAAATTCAATATAATAATAATAATAATAATTATTATTATTATTATCATTATTTTACAAGAAATGAAAATGTTCTGCAATGGGCCAAGGTGTGAAAATATTTGTTTTTGAGAGAGATGTGGATATGGCACACGGTTTGGTTCCTTTTGAAGGCTCCAGCTGTAAATTGGTGGCTCCACTTTTGACAGTTTCCTTTGCAGAACATACAAGCACAGAAGGCGGGTGGGGATAAATATTTTATTACTTGCTTTGCAGTGCTGCCTGGAAGCTCATGCTGCATTTATGATCCCTTAGCACTAAGAGGGTCCAGAAATTGGAATTTTATGCCTCAAAACACTTCCAGCACAAATAGTCAGGACTAAGAATGGGCAGAAAAATTGTTGTGATATTGGCATTAAGAGACAGCTTCTCAGTTGGTATAAATTGTCATCCACATGGATCTGTGTCCCATTAGGAGTCTGCACAAGGAGAATCAAGTTCATCAAATCCATATCTTAGCTCAAACTTTTCTTTTTTTTTTTTTTCCACTCTCCTCATGTTTTCTCTTGATCAGCCTTGAGTTTCCTTCAATGGTTATTGCTGTGTATGGTGGGCAAAATATCACACACCTGCCATGGCCATTTCTTCCCAGCAGATAGGTGTGACCACAGTGTTGAAGCAGCAAAGAAGGGTGACAATGTGAAATGATGCTTGTGTGCATGGCTGAATTAAGGCACAGGGGGCTTTCTGTGCCTTATGAGGTGGTTTGTTCTCACCCATGTGGCTCTGATTTAGATTCAGACAGGCAAAGTTTCTTAAACAGCATCATACTTACACCTGCAAGGTCAGAAGAGATTTGCTGAAGCACAAGAGCCAGCCTAGGATTAACATTTAGGTTAGTGGGAAATTGAAGTTATTTGAATTATTGCCCTTGCCTGGTGAATTTTGGAGAGGGTAATTACAGGGATAAAAGAGAGGAGATTTTGTAGACAACCTATAAATTTGTTAGCTCTGTATGAAAGTGGAATTTAATGCTCTTGTTATGTTCTGCAGTGGTGTCTTGCTGCAACCCAGATTTGGCACAGCATCCCTTAAACCTGAGACAAGGTGAGACCTCAGCGGTAGCAGCCTTAAAAGCTACAGATGAGAGGCTCTAGCAGCAAACTGCAGGCTAAAAATAAATCACTTTAAAGCCCATACGGCACAGGAAAGGCTCCTTTCCTCTCTGCCTTCTGCTCCTTGTGGCTTTTTTCACAGGATTTTTATGCTCATATCCCCCAATACCTGAGATTTGCCCTCCTTATGCAAGAGCAAACAGAACCACGGGTGCTCCCAGAAACTTGGTGATAGAGGAGCACACCTGTAACTTTATTGGATCCAAGTGTCCCTTCTAAATTTCACTGGGGGCCTCTTTCCAGATTTAAGGGCACTGCTCTGAAGTGTTTAGCTCAACTGCAGAATATCTGGGTGTGCTCCAAACCAGAGCTGGCGGAAAAAGGTCCTGAAAGAAATAAATAAGAAATTTAGAATTGCTTCTTCAAGATAGATTTGGATGGCTGGTTTATTTTTTTCCCCCAAAAAATAAAGGATTTTTTTCCAGTGACAGGATTCAAAATGCAACATCATTTCAAGTTGTGCATTTTTCTGTGAGGGATGAAGAGGGATCACAAGACCCATATCCATCCTGACCTCCAAATGTCAAATACCTGGAACAAGCTGCTTCCAATGGAGGAACGAGGCAAGCAATTCTTGTTAAAATAAATCAATAAAATACCACCACCCCCAAAATTTCAGGAATAATGGTCACGTATTAAGTGCCTTTTGGATGACTGGTATCTGTTAATGGATGGCTTGTGGCATCAAGAGGAGATGCAAAGGTAATTAATTACTCAGGAACTATTTGTCCACTTTGGAAACTCAGGGCTTTTAATAACAAATTCCAGGAGGAGAAAATATTCACTTTGTACCTTAATTCATCATCAGCTTAAAACTTGTCTGAGGTTTATGAGCCTGATCCAAGTTTTGGACAGATCTGGGATGAGTTTCAAGGGAGCTGCAGGAGTTTCATGACATTGGCTGTGCCACGAAAGGCTTCTATGGAACCAGAGGGAAGGGACTGGTCACTGTAATCCTCCCAAAGTGCTACACAGATGCCTCTTCTGCAGAGACTCTCGTGGTTTTTTGGGATTTCAGACCTAAACAATGTAGATACCAGCAAATTTTGTCACATTTCTCTAGCCCTTCAACCTGGAAAATGGAAATCAAGGTGAAATAAAAACACACTCTGTTTTTCCCTCCCCCAAAACAAGGTGATGGGCAGGTTTCAATTAATCAGTATCAATCATGTTTTATATAGAGCTTTGTTAGAGGCTTCCTGTGTTGATGAGGTTGTTTGTTTGTTTGTTTTTAACTCCTTTGCTGTGTGTGGAAGGTGCCACTTGCTTTCAGATGGAAGTGCTAAATGTGTTCTGTACATGATTTGGGGAGGTGTTTGAGGTCACAGCTTCTTTCAGGAGGATGCTGTGGCATTACTCGACATCAGGCTTTGCCTGGCCCATCTGGCTCCTCGGACATGATTTCATGCATTTAAATCTCCTATTACAAGGAGGGTGGGGAGCAGCCCTCAGCCTGGAGCTGCCCTGGAAGCAGCATCAGCAGGATGCTGCAGCAGTGTGTGGTTGTGCCATGGGGATAAACAACTCCAGCACCACATGGGGAAAAGCCAAGAGCTGGTGGCCTTCACTGAGTGCTTGTGCTCCCCACAGCCACCTTCATCCTGCTGCAGTTCTTCCTTCTCCCACCACTGAAGCTTCTTTCCCAGCCCCCAAGGAGGGTGTCAAACTCATCACATGGGTGGCAGGGTTGATATCCCCTCCACACTGCCCTCTGCAGCTCCAATGGGTAAAATAGTATTTTTTGAATAAAAACCAACAAAGTGAGGTTTTTTCTCTGTTGTTTTCACGTGGCTGTTGAAACTGAAGCTTAAAAATATCAGTCATAAATTGACTTCTTATATTCCTTATGAAACCCTGAAGGTAGGAATAAAAAATAAGATGGCAGGAAAACACAGTAGCTTTAAATTTACAGGCACTAAACCTTGACAAATCAGATACCTGTGGGGGAAGGGACTGCATTTAGGAAGTCTGAAACTGCCTGAATGTCGGTGTTTCCTTGCCAGGTGCTTGTAAATAATATGCTGCTCATGGAACCATGATGGAGAGAGCAGGGAGATTATTTTCTGATGGTGAGTACTGGTTTAGGCCCACGGGTTCGCATCTGTGGGGCATTGGCTGGGGCTGGTGAAGGCAGCTCACCACTGCCATGGGCTTCAGAGGCTGCAATGGCATTTCTGTCCCAGCTAAGCCCTGCCAGGATGTGGCTCATCCAAGGGCACATGGGGCCCTCTGGCCAGCGTTTCCTGCTGCTGGCCCTGCCCTCGGGCACACACTCCTCATGGTCACAAGTGCCCTGTCTGCTTCGGAAATGCAGCAGGTCAGGCAGGTTTAATGGCAGATTTTGGGACAACATCAGCTGCCCCCTTCCCCCACGCCCAGAGGGGGTTAATTCAGCCTTCCCTGCTTTCCTAGCTGGTGGCACAGCAGGGTGGGCCGTGCTGTGGGGGCACCATGGGGAAGGGTGAGACGGAGCCATTCGATACCATTCCACATGGGCTGCTCCTGCAGAAATGTTTGGTTTGCATTTGCCTGTGTCTGCTATGGCTCTCCATGGGCCTGTTGAATGAAACAGTAGGAAGAATTTATTGAGACCCTTTTGGAAAAGTATTTGATACTGTGCTTCCTGCTTGTTGGATTTACAGCTTGGAAGGATGCAGTAAGAGTGGGGAGCTGCTGTGTGGCTTAGATGTTAGGGAAGTCTCTTGGAAAAGGCAGGGGAAAGGGGGTGAGCTCTAGACTCGGTATTAGGGCCCTCAGGCATGAGAGTGAGTGGACAGGAGAGCATTCATTTCATGTCAGGGCAAAGTTTGATTTTCATTTGCCCCCTGCAGCCCTGAGGATGCATCCTTGGCCTCAGAGAGGTTTCTGTGGCCCTGCTGTCTTATGTGTATTGCACAGTTAAAAGTGTCAGATTTGCTGGTCGGAAGGTGTTTCTTTCCAGGGACTAACAAAACTTTCTAAGGAATCACATTTATTACTCACTATCTTAGGAATTGGTAGCGTGGAGTCCTGTATTTTATGTATAAAGATATCCCCAAGTGTTTGAGCTGCTGCATTGCACGACCTGTGCCATCTCCCACAGTATCAAAATACTTCACAGCTCTTCCCCTGAGCTTTAGCTGTGTAGTGGTCTCTCTGTCTTATCAAGACAGAAGCTTTGTTTTGCACATCTATTCCATACATAATGTGTAAATACCTGGGCACAGAATGAAGATGCCTAAAAATGTCCTCTCTAGATGAGGCACCTTGGTGCTGCCTGTGGCTTCTGGGTCACTCCATTTGCCAGGATTGGGGTGCTTACCTGCATGACTAAAGCATAATCATGATTGGTTTGTGCTTCATGTCCAAAACTGAGCAGCTTGACTTGTTCCTTGGGTTTAGGCAAATTTGAAGCAAGAAGATGGCAAAAGCTGTAGGGAGTAGACTAGAGCATGGATTGATAGAGAGATGCCTCAGAGGTGGCCTTTCCCAAGGCTTTCATCCATGATTATTCAAGTACCAGAATGAGGATTTCTGAGTGTGCTTCATGGTGAAGTGGAGTGGGAAGGTGTGGGAAAAAGCATTCGCACATGGAGAGAAAAGCCCAAGGGCAGAGGAAGCGAGTCCTGTGGGGTAAAGCCAAGGCCTTAGAGTGCTGGTGTGGGCTCATCAGTGCCACCTCTTGGGTGGAAAGAGGCTTCCAGGAGAGTTTGTGCGCGTCAGCCACCGACTTCTGCTTTTGGTGCAGAGCAAAGCAGGCAGCGGGGGGCTGGGGACCGGACCCCGGGTTCGCTCGGTGCTGCAGCCGTCCGGACGTGGTGAGTTGTCACCAGCCACCCTCCCCTTCGGAAGGTCGGGTTCTGCTTGCCTTGATGAAATCAGGTCTGGTTCTGAAGCAGCTCGAGGGAAAAGTGCAGGGCCCAGGAGCGACTCGAGGGGAGAGGTGGGCCAGGACGGGTTTGAGCTCAGGGGGACCCTAAACCCGGCACATCGGGATGCCGGCAGCCCCGGCAAAGCCCAGCCCACTGCTCTGCGGCCTGCTCCCTCCCAGAGCTAGGAGCATGAAATTATGAAGGGGAATTTCAGAACAATGAAGGGAAATCCTTTGCCTCCCGTACAGCCCGGCCTGGGAAATTCACCACTGCCAGAAACTGCACCCTCAAACGCTGCTGCTGGCTTTCAGAAGAGAGTCAGCCTTATAACCAAGAAAAAAGCTGAAGTTATTTGTCAAGGACTCGATTTCGATGGGATTTAAGTTCGGGGCAGTGCAGGAGGAGGGGTGACCCTGCCGTAGTGGGGGCGGCCGTGCCCGCCGGGTGCGGGCCCTGCGCGCTGCCCGCGTTTACCCGCGGAACCGAACCGGGGCGTTTATTTACCCGCGGAACCGAACCGGGGCGTTTATTTACCCGCGGAACCGAACCGGGGCAGCTCCGCGACGGCCGCGGCGGCGGGCAGGGGGTCACGCTCGCCCGGCGCGGCTGGGAGATGCAGCAGGAAAAATAAACTAGAAGTAAAAAGGAGCGTTATCATTATTATTATTATTACTATTGCTAATAGTCCCCGTGCTGCCGCAGCCAGCCGGGTGAGGGAGCGGGCGGCCCGACGGCTGCGCGGGGCGGGAGGGGGCGGCCGCTGGGGGCCGGGCCGGGCCGGGGTGGGGGGGGCCGTGGGGAGTCGGGCCATGCCGAGCCGAGCCGAGCCGCGGCTGGGTGATGTCAGGCTCGAGGAGGAGCCTCCGCCGCCTGCCCTTTTACTTTCGGGCGCCGGCACTTGGCCGCAGGCTGCTGCCGCTGCTGGCCGGGCCCCCCCCTCACCCCCTCCGCTATGGGCACCCCGCACTTTTAAGGCGCCGCCCCGAGGGGGGGGCACGGGGAATTCATTAAAAATCGCTATTTAGGTGGTTATTTATTGCCCCGCTCCGGGTATGTGAACAACCACCCCCCCGCCCCCCCCCTCCCCCGGCTCCCCTTCTATTCACCCCCAGCGCCATGCCGGCAGCCTGCACCCTGCTGCTGCTGCTGGGCTTGGGGCTGGTCCCGGTCCCGCCGGCCGGCTCGCTGCCCCTCGCTTCCCCACGGCGTCTTCCTCCACCTCCCCCTCCTCCTCCTCCGTCCCGAAACCGTCTCGGCCGCCCTTCCTCGCTTCCCGCCGGCAGCCCGGGTGAGTGCCCCGCCATGGGGATGGGGATAGGGATGGGGAGAAGGGGAGGGACGGGATTTCGTCCCGGCAGCGGCCGGAGAGTGCGGGGGTCCGCATGGTGCGGGTCTCTCGTGGCACCGCGGCTGCGGGCTGCTGAGCATCCCGACATCACCCAGAGCTGGCTCAGCTGGGAAGTGTAACACTCCCCCCCCTCAGTTCCTTTTCCTTTTTAACCTTGCCCAGCTCATCGTGCTACAGCTGCTTCAGAGGTTGAAGGTTTGGGATGGGAAAGTGTAAACACGTTGTGGCTGTGTGGACTGAGTGGAAGGCGAGCGGTGGAAACTTCACCGAGGAACTTGAGAAAGGTTTTGGGGGGCACCAGGAGTACTGTCCACATGTGTATACCCATCCAGGTGGGAAACGGGGGGCTCCTGTAGGTGGTCTGCAGGGTCTGGGTTGCCTCCTGCTTGTCTCCAGCAATGCTCTCATCTCACCAAAGGTGAGACCCCTATCAGGTGTGGGGACAGATGCTGTCAGCTCTCTGTGAATACCCTCTGTTTCTAGTCGCCTACAGACTGTCAGATTAGTCACGTATAGAGCCAAATCTTTCCTTGCATGCCACCTCTACAGTGCTATTATCACAAGCAATGCCTAGTTTTGTGCTTTACGGATTGTGCTGAATTTGGTTTCAGCACAGGATAAATCCTATTTTTCCCAGAACAAGCAGGGATGTTTCAAGTGTCGTTCAGTAAACTGGCTCACTTACTCACCAAAGAAGGCACATAGCTCTAAGGATGACTAATTCTCAATGAGTTTGGAAAGCACTGAGTGTCTGCAGGTGGTATAAGGAATCCAATATGTCAAATTAATCCTGCGTAGGTTTTAAGTGGGTTTTAGGATTCATTGCCTGCCTGAGCTGGACTGTCAAATTTCATCTTTTAATTTCTGATGAGGAGAGAATATTGTGCTTTGGAACTTGGGGTTAAGTTTAGTTGTATGGAGCTGTAAAATTTCAGGAAATGTGAGAAAGTACATTTATAACCTTTTCATTTTCTTCACAAACCCGAGGCATGCCTTTGTAGGATGTATCCAGACTAGACCAATGTATAACTGGGGGTATCAGCTGGAATGTAGCCTGCAGTGGATTAGAAAGCTCCTAACCAGCAGTGCTTGTGAGAGCAGCTTTGTGACTAGGATACTGCATGGAAATGAAGGAGATTTGGGTCTGTTCCCAGCTCAGCTACTTCTTTGTGCCACTCCAAGTATCGGTTTGCCCTCCAAACTGGGAGAATAATGCTGTCTTACCTGCTACCAACCTTGTGAAGATAAAATCTGCAACTTGCCAGCAAACTGCTCACCTATTATTTGTTGAAAGCTGTGCAGATTCCTCAGCGGACAGAAAAAAAATATTTAATTTCATCTCAGCTTTCAGTCTGGCATCTTTTCCTGTGACCTTGATGACTCCTGAGAGTCAGTAGAGGAATGCATTTCCTTTGTTAAGAGTCTGAAAAGCTCGGACTATCTGTCCACATGCTGGAGAAGCCATTTGTCAGCCTGGCTGGCCGGCTGGGGGGCGCAGGCTTTGCTCCGTGCAGCCAGGGCTCAGCAGCTACAGGTGCTTGTGAATTATGTCAGCCACAGCCAGAAGGAGCAGGGCATGCAGTGAAGGAGTGATAAATAGCCCAGCAGTAGCTCGCTCCCCAGCAAACGGCATCGTGAATTACCCTGGCTCCTGACAGCTGCGATTCACTCGCTGTTAGCACCAGCTCCGTGCCTGTCAGTCAGGGGAATTGTCTGGTGCTACAGGAGCAGGCTGGGGATCTCCGGAATCACCCTCAGGTCGGGCTGCAGACTCCTGAGCAATCCCTGCTTGTGTCGCCACCGCTCCTGCCCCTCGAGGCATGTCCCACCTTTAAAAACACTTGCTTGAAGCCAGGGTACCATTTCTTGTGAACCCATCACCCTGGCACTACCAGGAAATGAAGATTACATCTCCCTTTGCAACAGTCTGGGGCAGGGTGGCAAAAGCCCTTTCTCAGGCAGGGCTTAGTGAGCAGATGGTGAGGCAGTGGGTGTAGAAATGGGGCTTTTGAGTCTCTCACAAAGCGTGGGGCAAGGGAGCAGGGCTGCCCTCGCAGCCTCACTGCCTTCCTGGCTGGCTTGGGCCTCAGCCTGCATCTGCCACCCTCCCTGCCAGACCCTCTGAGGGCTTGTCTGCTGAGACATGAGGACAGATGGCTTTAGCCTGTGTTTATAATACAGTCTGAACCCAAGGAGAGTATCACAAGAAAAAAAAATAGGTGAAGTGGGAAGCAAGAAAGCTGGTGACAGTAAAGTTAAAGCATTATCAAATCTCTTCTGGCACTACCTCACATGGGCACTGAGTGAGCTGAAGGGCTCTGTCTGCCACCAGCCTGGGTCAGGTCAGGGTTTGGTTACAAGCCCTGTCCTCCTGCAGGTCTCAGAATTTCAGGTTTCCCATCTGTGAAATGGGAATAATTCCAGTGACACCACAGGACACCAGAGGTAACACTGAGCCCCTGACAAAGTCACTGTGGCTGGGATCTCCCTGTTCCTGCCATGTCCCTTTTCCTGCTACTTCTGCCCACACAGGTGCCCTGCCCCGGTGCCCAGCACAGCACAGAGCCGCTGGCAATGGGCTTTCCCTGAGAAGCTGATCTGCTTTGCTGCCATCTGTGTCTGTCCTTCTGTCCCTGCTCCCTCTCTCCCATGGCAGGTGCCACCTTTCTATGTGGCTTCCCTGGTGGGAGCCCTGGCAATGAGGTGTGAAATTGCCTGAGAAGGAACCAGCTTTAGTTGCAGCAGAGGTTTAGGCTGGCTGCTGGGAGAAACTTTCCAAAACTCTTAGAAGGGATAAACAGTCTGTATTTATTTATGTATATGTTTAACCTTCTGTCCGAAACTTTCTGTGTGAGGAAGAAGTAAAGTTAGGAGCGAGGGAAGAAGATGCTGAGGATATTTGTTTGCACAAAGATACGGTGTTGCTTCCAAACCTGCCTCACATTTTGCAGTATGTATTTTGTGGCTCCTGGGGGCAGAGCCCAGCTCTCCGTGCAGCCACACTGATGCAGAGAGGTGTAAGATGCTGCTCTCTAGCTTTGATGCAGCTTCAGGTGACTGTGGGTGGTGCAGGAAGGATGCTCCCTCCCCCTGTGGTGCAGGGACAAGGAAGAATTGCCTCCTGTGCCTCAGCACTGCTATCAAAAGGCTGCAGGGTTTTCCTGTCTCGGGCATCTTTGCTGCTCCTCTGTGAGCTCTGAGTGGATTTGGTTGGTGGGCTGTGAACATGAACTCCCCGGGATTGCATGGATTTAGCTCTGCTCCTTTGGGGTACATAATTTAAAGCAAAAAAGAAAAGAGAAGGAAGAAAATGCATTTCAGAAAGAGAGGAAGATTGAAGATCAGCTTTCCTGCCTGTTCCCCATCTCAAGCCCTGGAAGGTAGCAGGGGTTGTCCACTGAGCAGCTGGGTTAGCATCAATTTGTGGAAGCACTTGATGTGATGTTAAAGTGCTAAATCAGTAGTGTGAGGGGTAGCTGTGTGACCTGGCTGGCAGGGAGCACACAGTGATGAGTATTGATGGACACTGCCATGTGACAGTGTGTGTGGAGACGTCAGCAGGCAGGGGGTGAGGGGAGAGCTGCCCTTTGCTGGGCTCCCCCAAAGTCTCATTTCTCAGTCCCAAACCACCTGTGCCCATTCAGCAGGTGTTGGCAGCATGTTCTGCTCCAGCAGCCACCACCATTTTGGTCGTGGTGGCTGCTGGAGCAGAATTTAAAGAATTTAAAGTAATTTAAAGAATTTAACTTCCTTCATGTTTTTCTCATGTCTGGGGGGACGAGATGGGCTGTTGCTGCCACGTTTGCAGGGGCTGGTGCCAGCCTTGCTGGTGTGTGGGTGCATTCCTTAGCAAATATTCTTTTCAGTATCAGAAGTTGCAGATACTGATCTGTTTAGGGGAGTGTGGAGTTTCTGGGACAACTTTTTTCCTTCACCTGCTCTTACAGATAGCAATTTTTGGGCTGCCAGTCAGAAACTCTCCATCACTGAACCCTCAAGGTCTATGTGCTCCATCCTCCCTCCATTCTCCCCATCCTGCTCATCTGCAGGGAGCATGTCAGAGCTGCTGAACCTGACTCCATCACCATCACATCTCTCAGAGGTGGCAGAGGATTTTGTTCATTTAACAGAGGGGTTATGATGCCAGGTTAGAAAGGCTGTTAGTTTTGGTGCTCATAGTGAAAATGAATGGATGCTGCTGACCGTAGCTGTTCACCCAAAATGTAAAACATGAAACTTTGTAGCATCAGTCTGGTTGTGTTGGTTTAAATGAAGCATTCATCCATGCTAACAAAATAACCCCAACAGAATACAGAACTATTTCAAATAACAAGCTAATCAAGCCAATAAAACCTGTCAGTACAGCGATAGGGTTTCAGTGCTGTGATGTAGAGATTAAGGCACCACCAACGTCCACAGCACTTCTGGAGCTGCTGCCAGAGGAACCTCCTGGCTGGCACTGTGGGCTCCCCATCCATGGGAGCTGTGTGCCATTTCCAAAATAAGGATAGCTACAGAGTGGCAAGGTTCAGCTATGGCTGAGCCTGCTGACTTTTTGCAGCCCAGAAATACTGTCTTTCTGCCTCTCTCTGTGCCATTCCAGCCAGCTGGGGTGCTCCAGGCAGGGCTGCAACCCCTGAAATACCCCCAGAGAAATAGTCTGGAGCTGCATAGATTGTAGATAGTCAGTGTAAACCCTCTGGATTCTGGCTTTTCTTCCTCACATAGTGTCAAAAGGGTTTCTCTGCTATGGAGGGGTGAGGAGTCTGGGGGTGTCAGGATATTTCTAGGCAGACAAACAGCACTGCTGAAGCCTGGGCTGATCCTCTCAGATGTGCACAGAGCTCCTCTGGAAAGAGGCAGGGCCAGATCCTGGCACCTGCTCTGGTGTCTTTCTGCTGTTGAAATGGTGCAAAGCAGCACTGGGGCAGTTTGACCGA